TCGGACACCGTCACCGTCCGGCGGTGGCAGATCCCTGGGGCCGGGGATCTTGACCCCACTCAACCCACGGGCTCCCGGGGGTGTCCTCTTGGGCAGGCGGCCTTTTGGAAGGAAAACCCACGATGTAACTTATCTTTGCTGCAGGCAGGTACAAAGATGGAGTGTTTCGGGGCTAGCATGAGTCGTCTCACGAACCATGTCAGGCTGACAGGTTTGGAATCGCAGGCTTTGCTGGGCCACTGAATATTCCATCTACTCCTCTTCCGTTTTCCTGCTGTAAGGCAGGGGTGGTATTTCCCTGCCCAAGCCGCGATGACCCCCCAGTTCATAAACACCCAGTGATTTGCAGCTGCAAGATGCCAGCTGAAATGACAGTGCAGTTTTCCTTCAAAACGTAACCTGTGCCAAACTCCGCATTTACATTAAATCCGTTATTCTCAAGTCATCGTACTCGGTTCGCGTCACTGCGTATTGTTTGCCCTCTCCTTGGACGGGTCCCCGATGCTGGAAAAGCGAGCTTTGCCAATCCTTTTTGTAGCAACAGTGTAAAACGTTAGGTCGTTGGCGTGGAGCCACAGTGAGTCAGGCTTGGCTTTGGGCAGCTGCCTGGAGAGGGAGACAGGGAGAGAAGATCAGTCTGAAGTCCAAGGTAGAGCATGTCGGCATGGGCAGCCCCAGGAGTGCCAAGAGCGGTCCCGAGCCTCGCATGCCAGTGCAGCCTGAAATCCTGTAGCCTAACAAATAAACAATATTGGCCAGAGAGGTTGGCAGGACCTGGGTGGCTGGTGACGGGGAGAGGGAAGCTGCACCCCCTGCAGCTTCCTGTGGGTCCGTGGATGGTGGGAGAGGGCTGCTTCGGGGGGTAGTTGGGGGTACAGGCTTTTATATGCCTGCTCCTGGGTCTTCAAGGGACTCGACTCCTTTGTGCATTCAGATGGAGACAAATCTATTAGAGAAATAAATTGGAAAGAATATTGGCAGCTGAAGTTCCAGTAATTTTTCGATTCTTGCGCTTGAATTTTTGGCATGTTTCGCCTGTCTTTGGCCCTTCAAAAGCACACGTGCGCTAGGCAGCTCAGTGCCCAGAGCAGCGGTGACACTCTGCGAGGCAGGCATCTCGCTGATCTATTGCCTGTGGAAAGCTGCCCGAGGATAGTGATTAGGCAAATGTTAACGATTTGTCAGCATCTCTAGTTCATTTGTTTTCATCGATGCACTGAGCTTATAACTAGCGACAATATTGATCAGCGGAGCTCTTGACACTCTTCCTTCCATCTCCCCCGGCCCACGGGTCACGTCTTGAGTCTGCCCGAGGAGGGAGAGGCTAGCTTGTTTCGTGTCCCGTACGAAAGGTCACAGCAGCAGCTCTGGCTGCTACTCAGATATCCATAACATCATGAGGATGAATGCTTTTGGTGTTATTTTACTGGGATGGTTTAACCACTTCCCTCCATATTAACCTTCTGTATGGGATTTTGTTGGTGGATCACGGGGAGCTCAGAAGTTAAAGGGCAGCTGATTTCTCCAGGGCTGGGATCAACCGGCTGCATTGTGCTGGTCTCAGCAGAGGGGGAACAGAGGATTGTCAGAGCCACAGGAAGGCAGTCCTTGCCCTTTAGTGCTCTAAGCTGCTTGGACAAGTCCCAAGCACTGGCCGTTTCCAGCTGCACGTGATAATGGATTGTCAATGGGAATTTGTTTTCGAGTTCTCTGGCCATCGGTAGCAAACAGTGGAAGAACACTGCCTGCCGGGACCTCCTGCCTGATGGCACAGGGGAACGGGTGGGGGGAGCAGAACACGTTTCCCAACTGTTTCGGATCTTCCTGTCGATCTTGCCTTTCTGGAAAGATGTTCTCAAGCAAGCTTCAGGCAAAATCTGTGCAGGAGACTTGTTCCAGAGGTGAAGTGGATTAGTCTCCAAAGCCGACGCAGGGCAGAGCGCAGGACAGCTTCCTCCCACCTGCATTCCCTTAGCCAGGACCTCACGGCCAGCCAGGCAGTACTCTGCAGGCCCATTTCATCCTCAGCTTCCCTCCTGACTTCTCTGCAAAGGAGAGGGCTGTGGATTATGGATTTCCTGCTTTTCCGAATTGAAGACCCACCATCTTACTCATTCTCGGTGGTTGTACCACGTGTATCTCAAAGGTCTCTGAGCTGTTGTGGCACCCTTGAGGAGTCACAGTTTTGTCTTACGGCCCCAGCTCAGGAGTCAGTGACCCGCAGGAGCAGGTTACACCTTTAAACTATCTCCGACCAGGATAAGTACAATTTTTGTGATTGCTGAGGTTTTGGGTTTGTTTTTTTCCTCTGCATCTTCTTTTGCCTCGAGCCAAAACCAGCAGAGAACCTGTCCTAGATCCCCGCTGGAAAGGCTGTTGAAAGTTGTAGGTCAGAACACAGTGGGTCAGAAGGAATTTGGGATTGGAACATAATCCTTCCAGCTGCCTGCAGATACAGTTCCCAAAAGATGCTTATAGGAAGGAGAAACTATCGATCAGATTCGGGTAAAGCCAAAAGACAAGTCAGGTTCATCACCTGCGCCGGCTGCTGCCAGTAGGGTCTTGTCCACTTACACCAGAACGAGATTTGGCCGAGGGCGGGCGCGCTGCGGGAGTGATCCAGCGCGGCCGTTCCTCCGTCACCGAGCAGGGAGCAGTTCTGCTGACCGGCTCACTTTTTCAGAGGCTCCTGTCTGCGTCGGGTTAATTTCTTGGCCAACTCTTTGTCCCTGGCGCTGGAGCATGCCATCAACGAAACACAGAAGGAAGAAATGAGCTTTGATTTCCAACTTGTGCTGCCTTCCTGTTGGTGTGGAAGTCCATTCTGCAGCACAGGGAGGGATCGGAAGGCCGGGAGCCCAGGCTGCCAGGCAGGCTCCGTCACAGCAGCGCTCCTGTCACCCGCAGGGACCATTTGGTCCTGAATTTGAAAGGGGACCACGGCCACAGCCTCAACTGATCCTTCGTACAGGTGTCACAGCCCAGGCGGTGGTGGAACAGAGCATCTGAAAGGGGAGGAGGGAAGGTGCCTGATCCGTCCCGGGAGCTTTTGGGGATAGTGATTAAAGTGAGGGAAAGGAGTTAAACTCTTCTGTCTTCTACTGATACTGTGGGAAGGGGGAAAGGGAGAGCACCAGAGGCCTTAGAGCCTTTTGGGGATAGTGATTAAAGTGAGGGAAAGGAGTTAAACTCTTCTGTCTTCTACTGATACTGCGGGAAGGGAGGAAAGGGAGAGCAGCAGAGGGCTGGAGGCACGGACAGCTGCAGGATAAAGATCAGAAATGGAATACAGTTAAGGATGTTTTGCAACAGCTTCTCCAGCAATGGCTGCTCGGTTGTGGTGCAGAGTAACTGACTCCACAGCACTGGTGGTGTCGCTGCCAGCAGGGACACACGCATTGGTAACGCAGGTTTCACATCAGAAATAATGTTTCAACACAATTTTTGTGTGCCCATGGAAGTGTATGGAAGGGTTCGCGTTAGGGGTGCTTCTCGTGCGATCTGACCCTTTGGAAGTGAAGTGGTGTTGCTGGCCTTCAGTCATTTCTGCAAAACGCCTCCACAGCTCCCACCCTCCTTCAGTGCCAGCGAGTCTTAATAATAGAGCCATGAGATTTTTAAAATAAGACAAGACAGGAATAGCTTCCCCTAATTATGTGCCTCGCCCATCCTTCTCTATCCTGTACTAAAAACGAAGAAGGGTGACAGTGCTTTGCCTTTTTCCAGGTCACTCATACTGTGACAGATTTGAGATGGTTTGGGTGAGCAAGTCCCAGCGAGCTGCAGGTGTCCAGCACGTGCACAAACCTTGCTTTACACTGCCCTCAGCGGGAAGCCAAACCAGTCTCTGTGTTTCCCTCTGGCTTCTGATCCACTTCACGCTCTAGTTCGAGGACTCGTGTGAAGCTTCCGGCTTGGCCTTACAGAAAGATATTTGAACGTTTCACTTGGAACGATGGCAAACCATTGCAGACACGAGATATGGGGCCACCAGATCCCACTGGGACCATACAAAGGCCCATTTCAACAGTAAATTTTTCTGGTGGTTTATCCAGCCCACTCCAGGAAACCAAGCGGTGCGGTTTCTGCCACTTCCCTTTTGGACAGCCTTTGTCAACCTGATAACCCCTTCAACAAGGAAACACGTTCTTGCTGTGTAGCCTCATTTCCAAACATTGTTTCATTCCCGCAGTGTCCCCCAGGGGAGGGGATACCAAGGAATCAAGGACATAGTGCCAGAGAGGCCAAAATGCTGCAGGTTCTTTGGAGGTCGGCAAGCATGGGCTGTAGGTGCAACTGTCGACAGCCCACTGGTACAACAGCTTTGCAGGACGCTTGCCAATCTGCCTTTTTCAGTGCCTTTTTCCCCCCTCACCCCTCTTCTGCTTACAGCTGTCCTCATGTCCCTGTGAATTCATCCTGGAACTTCATTTGAGGAAAGGATCTACTGAATCAAAAGCTTCCTTCTGCTCTTCCCAGAACTTCCCTCACGATGGCATCCGATAGCCCCGAGTCACTGATGACCTTGTGCACAGATTACTGCCTTCGCAACTTGGAGGGGACTCTCTGCTACCTGCTGGACAATGAGACGCTCCGGCTCCATCCTGACATCTTCTTGCCAAGCGAGATTTGTGACAAACTTGTCAATGAGTATGTTTCAGGCCTGTGGAGAAGCTGTTGTTTGGGTTGGGAAGGAGCCGAGAGCTCAGGGAAAGGGGGAGTATAGTTCTCTAAAAAAAGTGTTGGGAAAGGGAAAAAAAGAAAAGGGAAAAATTCATAGGGCTGTTTTTTTCCTCCTATTGGAAATTAACTTTGGAAGGAGGAAGTGTCCCCAGGGGTTATTGTGCTGCTATATATCATTCTACTTTCACTGGAAATCACCATTTCCACGTAGGTAAACCTCAGAGTGAAACAAGCAATCACTGCTGCTTCCAAGAACATCAGTAAGCCACAGAGGAGCCTTCCCATCGCCCAGCACTGAGGCATTGCAGCTCTCTCAAACCAGAGAAATCAGAGTGCAAAGTGCTAACAGATGTTAAATTTTAAGGCTGCTGCTCCCATAGCTTTACAAAGCAACCTGTTTCCAGGGATTTATAATTTGGCTATCACAGCCTCTTGGCTGAACTCCTGCCCACAGAGTCTGGCAGAGAACTTTGGCCAGCTAATTTTCTGAAAATGAAAAATCAAATTACTAGCTTTATACAGCTGGGGGAGGGGAGGGGAAATAATCATAGAGTCTGTGCTTGCCAGAATGCAGTTTGCTCACTCACATGTGACCTTGCACAAAGGTGCAAAGATTTTCCTAAGGATTGTTAGTTGTGTGCAAGAAGAGCTGACAGGCCAGCTGCCGTTACCCCCGAGGCTGTTCTGGGGAGTCTGCGTGTGCTGGTCACGTTTTCTCACGCCCAGTGCCGGTGCTGGAGCTGTTGCTGAGCCTTTGTGTTGTGCTAATGCCATTGCCCCAATGCAGGTATGTGGAGCTGGTGAAGACGGACAGCATCTTTGAACCCCATGAAAGCTTCTTCACCCTGTTCTCGGATCCGCGGAGCACCAGGCTAGCTCGAATCCACTTGCGGGAACAGATTGTGCAGGACCAGGACCTGGAGGCCATCAGGAAGCAGGTGGTATTGCACTGAGAGACTCCAGCTGCCACTGCGCATGGCAGCATTGCTGCATGGGCACCAGCTAGAATCATTTCCTCCACCATCCAAATTTTCTCTGGGAGAACCTCAGCTTCTCCCTTCTCAGCTCCCAAAACCACTGTAGGGAATGGGATGGGGACACTGGTCAAGTTGGGTGATCCATGGTCTCAGGCTCTCCCAGGGGGAGGTGTTGCAGCAAACAGGGTGGGCACTCTGTGAAATCGTTCTAACTTTGATTTCCCATCTTCCAGGATCTTGTTGAGCTCTACCTGACTAACTGTGAGAAGCTGACAGCCAAGAGTCTGCAAACCTTGGTGAGCTTCAGCCACACGCTTATCTCCCTTAGCCTCTTTGGCTGCTGTAATATCTTCTACGAGGAGGAGAACCCCGGGGGCTGTGAGGATGACTGTTTGGTGAACCCCACGCGCCAGGTCTTGGTCAAGGACTTCACTTTTGAAGGTTTTAGCCGCTTGCGCTTCCTCAACCTGGGCCGCTTGATCGAAGGGGTAAACGTGGAGACGTTGCTTCGGCCTTTGGCCTCCCTTGCAGCTCTTGATCTCTCTGGGATCCAGCTGAATGATGTAGGATTTCTGACCCAGTGGAAGGACAGTCTGGTTTCCCTAGTGCTTTACAACATGGACCTTTCAGAAGAGCACATCCAAGTGATCGCACAGCTTCGCAAGCTCAGGTCAGCAGATCTGTTCTTCCTTGCTTTTCCTTTTCCCACTGATAGGGAAGGGTCTTTTGAGAATGGTCTACTTGCCTGCTTGTGCAGAGCCTCCCACTGCTGGTTTCAAGCTTCACACGAAGAAGCTCACTCGTTGACTCACTGTACATATCTGACATGTCCAAATCCAGCCTGCATTTTGCTTGCAAAAGGACACCACTTGGGAAACTCCCTCATGGAAACAAGCAAAAAGCCACTACACACACAGAACTCTACATACCGAAAAAACCCACCACAAAACCAAACCAAACCAACCCCCCCCCCAGCCAGACAAAAAAGAACAGCTGAATATCTGAGAGATGGCAAAAAGTATTACTGCAGATGGTACATAAACTAACATAGTGATAAGCATACTGCGAAACTCAGTCCTCCAAACCACTTGTCAAACAGGAATGTCCAAAGTTTGAGCCTGGCTCTGAGATAAAGCTAGGGAAAACTCAGCTCAGTGCTCACTGTGCTCTGTGGAAGTATCCTGTGTGTGGATGGTAGAGCCAAGGGAAAAAGCAGCGTAAATAAATAGGCACTCCTGACCTAAAAAGTGAAATGACTTCCTGAAACAGAGTCGAGACAATTGCTATTCAAACTGCACAGTGGTATCAGGAAAGGGATCCGGGACTTTCCAAGCCAAAGAGAAGGGCCTTACAATTCAGATGGATACTTTGCAACCACTTTAGCATCATCTCTACTGCCTGTAGTCACTAGGAGGTACCATGTTAACACAGGACCTGGGAGTCTCTGGGAACATCCTGGATAACATTTTCTAAATCCAAGTAGTTGAACTCCCAGTGACTTGCCATGAAACTTGGTCTGCAACAGGGAGAAGACACTGGTGTGAGTGGGACGGTGGCCTCTGTCTTAGGCAGTTTAGAAAAGTCTTAGCTACTGCTTGGCATGCAGGAGCAGCCCGTTCCATAACCCCACCTGCACGTGATGGCTGGTCAGTTTGTCTCACCACTTCCGTAGCATCGGGGTTTCCCCAGAGCTTAAGCATTTGAAAACTTGAATGAAATCAGGGCAGCGTAATAGCCTGGGGTGGGAAAAAAAAAAATACAGGACTGGGGAAGCAGACAAAAGCTTGTGTAAATTAATGTGTGGGATGAGGCAACATGTGTTTCTGGGGATGCAGAGATCCTCCGGCGCATCTTAATCTCCAGGCAGAAATGCTCAGGGGGCTGCTGTGAAGGAGCTTGGGAAAGGCAGTTCCTGAGCCTGGAGCAATTCCCTTTGTGATGTGTGGCCAAATGATTAATTGTGCTCCATTCTACACAGACCTCTCTACCAGGTATCTCTGTGCTTCAGTTACACACAGGGCCAGATCCACATTCCTGTGTCTTGTGAAGGAAATAATAATCATAATAAATAAAAAATAATGATCACACTTGGCTTGTCAACTTCCTCAGGTGGGGAGAGAGAAGCCCCAGCTAATGCTTTCCAGGTTCTGAGCTCCTCTCTGTCATTTGCAGGCACTTGGATATCTCCCGAGACCATCTATCCAGTTATTACAAATTCAAGCTGACCCGGCGGGTTCTCAACCTGTTTGTGGAAAACTTGGTAAACCTCACTTCGCTCGATATCTCAGGGCACACCATGCTGGAGAACTGCACTATCCCATGCATGGAGGAGAAGATGGGCCAGACGAGGTAAGGAAGCAGCAATTACTGAAGCCTGTGTGGATGAACAGATGAGTCAAAGATGAATTAAGAATACTTCTCTCTTCTGAGCTTCCAAATTCTGTAGGTCTAATTAATACTGAAAACTGTTGCTAGTTTCTCCTGACACTGAAGACTGGTATGGGAATCAGCTGTGATTCCTGTATGTGACACATCTCAGGACTTCTAAGATGAATAAAGAATGCCTCCTATCTGCCTCCCATGCGTGTCTGAAGTATTTCAGTTCTTCTCCACACACATTCTTCCAGGGATCTCTTGTAGTGGTTTGTATTTCTCCTGAAAGGACTCCAGACCCCTTTACGCATTTTCTGCCCGAAACATTCTTACCCTCACTGAAATAGAGGATGTTCTAAGGCAGAACTTGACTACCCCGAGTCAATACACCAGTGTTCATAGGAGAGCTGAGTGTTTCAGGAACTTGGAATTTAAAGCCATATTTTCAGATTTGACCTGGATACTGGGCAGATCAACCTTTGAAAAATCCTGGTGCACCTCAGCAAGGGCCTGCCTAGAGGTCTGGTTTTCCAGATCAGCCAAGCACTCTGCTCTCCTATTCCCCGAGCACTTACTGAACAAAACCAAGTGGGATATACTGGCTCCTTTCCACTAAAACTGGTGAAAAAATGCCAGCTCTTGGTCAACAAGGATAACGGAGCAAAGCTAGTGTTCTTGCACTGTCACAGGAGCAGACTAGTGTGTCTGTCAGATGACAGGCAGTCCAGTTTGCAAATACTTTGGAACAGCAAAATCCACAGCCCTTTTTTAAGGGGAAACTTTCACCCCAACTACTCAATTTCCAGGGCAAGTTCTACCTGGGGAAGCTGCATTCTGTCTGCATGAATTCTTACTGGTGTTCTGTTGAAGACATTTAGCCCTTCACTCCTTGCCTGGGATGAATGTCTACTGTTACTTACACGAGTCAGCTTCTAAACAACTGAAGTGTAGCTGTTGGTCTAGCTACGGAGCAGACAGCTCATCTGTCTCGGTGGCAGGAGACACCTGAAGAAACATGGTACCAACATGAGTGATCTCTTTTTTTCCCCCCGCTTCAGCATTGAGCCAGCAAAGAGTAGCATTGCTCCCTTCCGGGATCTGAAACGACCGTTCCAATTCTTGGGCCTTTTTGAAACATCTCTCTGCCGCCTGACGCATATTCCAGCCTACAAGGTAATGAGGCCACAAGAATGTTGGCAGTAGGTACTTGGTAGGAGTTGAAAGAACATGAAAATTATTGGCTGCCAGTAGAGTGGAGTTCTTAGGGTCTCGGGTGTGTTAACTGAGCTCTGACCTTTCAAGAGCTGCTTGACAATGCAGGAAAACTGCCAGAAGGCAAGACCTGTACCCCACATGTTTTTTTACAGGGGTTAAAAAACATGCTTCTTAGAGAAAGGCATGGAAAAATCCTTGTGCCTGAAGGACCAGGTTGTCCATGACTACAAGAAAAGGATTTAAGACAATAGGAGTCTTAGTTGTGAATGGCATCCTCCTGCCCAAAGATGCTGCTTCTCGTCCCTCTGGGCTGAGAAATGACTCAGCCTCTTTGCTCTCATCCTGGGCCTAATCCTGTGAGCAAGGGCAGAGGGAAGATTTATCCTTTGACCTTCCAGACGTACTCTCAGAGTTCTCACGTTCGTTTTCCTCCATCATTTCTTCCCTGACTCTTTTTGTTCCTCCACACCAGGTGAGCGGAGACAAGAACGAAGAGCAAGTCCTGAACGCTATTGAGGCTTACACTGAACATCGGCCAGAAATCACCTCCCGGGCCATCAACCTCCTTTTTGACATCGCGCGTATCGAACGCTGCAGCCAGCTGCTGCGAGCCCTGCAGGTAAGCCCCATTTACCTCACCCTCACAAGGGAAATGTTGCAATCCCAGTCTTTTCTTCACCCTGGGACACCACATCAGGCCATTCTGGAGAAAGTTCTGGTAGGGGAGCAGAACTGGGTACCTTCATTTCAAAACCGTGTTCCTGCAGCGCCTGGGCCACGCGTTGCTTGCCCCACACAGCCATAACAGTCACTCCAAGGCTCAACAGCAAGTCAGGGGCACTGAAGCTTCATGTTGCTTCTCCGCAGCTGGTGATCACAGCCCTCAAGTGCCACAAGGATGACAAAAACATCCAGGTGACGGGCAGCGCGGCGCTGTTCTACCTGACCAACTCGGAGTACCGCATGGAGCAGAGCGTAAAGCTGCGGCGCCAGGTCATCCAGGTGGTGCTGAACGGCATGGAGTCCTACCAGGAAGTCACAGTAAGAGCGGCCCAGCCTCCTTCGGCTCCCATAGTCCTTTCTGCCCTGTATGAAACCTTTAGCCTAGTGCTGGCATCGGGGTCTCCTGAGCTTCCAGGATGCGAGCCGAGGCAGACGCCGGGGCAGCTGTGGCCCGGCTCTGCTCCTTGCCTTCACTCAGCGATGGGGATTACATGCAGGATGCTCCTTATCCACAGCGTTCCCCAGACCAAGGGGGAGAAAGCTGTAATGGCAAGGCTCCTTTTTGTCTGATGATAGTGGTCAAAGAGGGTGTGCAGCACAGATACCCAGCACCACCTGTGGGGTGAAAAGGGTGCAGGCTTTGGGGCTGCTGAGTCAACAGAAAGAAACATTATGCCAACAGCCCGTGCTGGAAGCTGTCTGACATTATACACAGCGATGCCACTGGGCTACAGAATGGAAATCGCTACCTAGAGAGCTTACAGGGAGAGAGAAGAGGGTACTGATAGAGCACAGCTAAAGCAGAGCGCTCGGTAGGAGGGTAACAGAAACATTAGTGGTCTCAGTACCAAGCAGCAAGGGAACGTGAGGTGATGGGTCCATGTTTTCTTAGCCACCCACCCCAGTGTTTGCTTCCTTTTGACTCAGGTACAGCGAAACTGCTGCCTGACACTGTGTAACTTCAGCATTCCCGAGGAGCTAGAATTCCAGTACCGCCGAGTCAACGAGCTGCTGCTGAACATCCTCAACCAGAGCCGGCAGGATGAGTCTATCCAGCGCATCGCTGTGCACCTCTGTAACGCTCTGGTCTGCCAGGTGGACAATGATCACAAAGAAGCTGTGGGCAAGATGGGGTTTGTCATGGTTGGTATGGTCCCAGGGTGTCTACTTATCGTTAACCCAGGCTGGCACAATTCCCTTGCAGCAGTCCACCAAATGCATCCAGCCAGTGATCCAGCCTTACAGTATCACAGGAGGGAAGTAGTGTCCCAGAAGTGCTAACCTTTCCTGGAACCTACCCCACTGTGAGGCATCTCTTACTTCTCAAGAGTACCGGAAGTCCTGATCTCAGAGACAGGCTGGCTGTGAGAGCAAGGAAGCAGCGTAACCTTATACTTTATTTCCTCAACACACCATGTCATTTCCAGAACTGGTATCACCTCACAACTAACTCTTTCTGCATCTCCTTGAGTTTACATCAGCTTCCCAACTCATGTCAGCCCACATCCCTCACTTTTCATAGACCTTTTCCAAAGGTCTGTGGAGGCCACTGCTTAGATACAGTTATGCCACATTCCAGACTTTGTGATGCAGTTTGAGACTGAAGACTCAACAGCTCAGGGACTGGGACATAGCTCGGCCCCGTAAATACTTGCAACATTGAACATAGCCCAGTCCCACTGGTTTAGAGAAAGGGATACTAAATAGGTTCTCTACGAAAGATCAGAATCACATGTGCCTGCAAATTGGCTGCAGCCAGCCCAGCAGAACTACAACAGTTAAGTTTTAGCTGTGTGATTCTCAAACTGATTCTCACTCTTCCCCTTTCTCTGCCCACAGACAATGCTAAAGTTGATTCAGAAGAAGTTGGCTGATAAAACGGTGAGTGTTTCCCAAAAAAACATATACATAGAGTATTTTCTCTTAAGTCTGACTTAGGTGCAGAGGTCAGCCCCGAGTGCCAGCTCAGCTGCTCTGCCAAACACAGGACATCTCAGCTGGTGCTGCAGAATTTCCTGTCCCAGGGTGGGGGCATGTGTCAGTGAAGCAAAAATATTAAACAAAAAACCCACTTGCTGACAAGTTGAAAGCAAATAACAAGGTTTTCTTACCTCTGGAGCTAACTAGGACGATACCAGAGAGGAAACACAAGTGGTTGGTTTGCACTGGGCTCCCACCTTAGCAAAGCTCTGTTTCTGTCCCTTTCTTTTCGGCTCCGTAGTGTGATCAGGTGATGGAGTTCTCCTGGAGTGCCCTCTGGAACATCACTGATGAGACTCCCGATAACTGTGAGATGTTCCTTAACTACAGCGGCATGAAACTGTTCTTGGAGTGCTTGAAGGTAAGTGGGTCTGGTTTCCTGCAGAGGAATGCTGACATTAGCAGTGGAGATGCAGTGCCTGGGCAGGATCCCTGGCTGTGCTGATCTATAAGCTGTACTTCCTACATTGCACAAACAGAAAAGAAAAAGCTTGTATCTTTTCTTATTTCTCACATCCATCCACCCACCCAGTAGAAGAACAGAGAAACTTAGACTCAACACATCCTTCTCTTTCCCCATTTTGTATGCAGCCCCCCTAAGCACAGTAGCAGCACATAGCGGGCCCTGGCCTTAATTCTCTCATTTCACATGTATGTTTAACACCAGAAATTCCATTTGGCATCTTTAAAGAGCCATTGCTGACAACCCAAAAATACTCAGCCTTTCTAGCTGTGCTGTACAGTCTTCCTCCAGGGTTCCTTGTTCTCATCACAGCCGTACTTCCATACAATCCTGCGCTTTGCTTGTTTAGGAGTTCCCAGAGAAACAGGAGCTACATCGCAACATGCTGGGCCTCCTGGGCAATGTAGCAGAGGTGAAGGAGCTCCGCCCGCAGCTCATGACCTCCCAGTTCATCAGCGTGTTCAGGTGAGTGCCCGGCTAAGGAAGGGCTGGGGTAGGGTGAGTGCCCTGGAGCTCTGCTCCTCACTCACCTGGAGACTGTTAAACCTTTGGTGCATCAGGGCCTCTAAATGATCTCTTCTCTCTTGGCAGCAACCTGCTGGAGAGCAAAGCAGATGGGATTGAGGTATCCTATAATGCCTGTGGTGTGCTCTCCCACATCATGTTTGATGGTCCAGAGGCTTGGGGTATATGTGAGCCCCACCGAGAGGAAGTTGTAAAGAGGATGTGGGCAGCCATCCAGAGCTGGGATATCAACTCCAGGAGGAATATCAATTACAGGTGAGGAATAGAGAAGTTTGGCTCACTCGGAGCCAGGATTGTCACAGGAAGCAAGTACCAACAGTGAGAAGGGAAGAGGTACAGCCTAGCATGGAGGCTCTGTTTTGAGGAAAGGAGATCCTCAGGGCCATATGCTTTAGTGAGGGTTTGACATCTTCCTTTCAAGCATCTTACACAGGCTGCTGAAATTAGACACCTTGCCTGGCAGTTCCTGTGGGAGAAGTGTGGGAGCCCAACAGAATTTCCTCTGCATGTTTCTGGTGAAATTACATGGTTCAGGAAACCCACAGTCTGACTCTCTGGGACTGCCTAAGCATTTTCCTCTGAGACTGCTGTCCTTTGCACCTCCTTAAGTCTGTTTGCTTCTGAAGGCCACGTGGATTGCTGTAGCTTTCACTCTTAGACACAGTTCCTAGATAGAAATCCCTTGCAGCATTAATACAACTGGTGGAATCCTCCAAAGCCTGTCCTGTAAGAGGGTATCAGGTACTCTGTATTCCCATAGTGCCTGGCAGGGATCCAGAACGAGTGGCGTTCCAATGCCCGAGATACAGTATACACACGTTATTGTTGTCAGAAGAAACACATCAACCACTGCACATGAGCCAGCTTTGGCTGGGTATAATTTTTCTTTGACCCCCCCTACAGAAAGATCAGTGCTGCTGGGTTTCAGCTGTCATGAGGGAACGACTGACAGGGGATGGAAATCAGTTCTTGGACTCAGTTGGCTTCGTTGCAGCTATTTATCTGGGCAGCATGTTTGTGCTGAAGCAGTAGGGCCTGTAAGCCAGCCGGTATTGCCGTGTGACTTAGTCTTTGATGCCAGAATCCTTGACGTGCCGATGGATTTACTGCTGTGCTATCTGTGAGCGCGGAGTTTGTCTTGCTTTGAGTGGGAAAGGTGCTGAAAGCAGCAGCTCTTGGATTTTTAACAACTTCTGCAATATTTCTGTGCAGGTCATTTGAACCAATCCTTCGACTTCTTCCACAAGGGATCTCCCCAGTCAGCCAGCACTGGGCTACCTGGGCACTGTATAACCTGGTCTCTGTCTACCGTAAGTTCCCTTTTCGAAATCATTGCACTGTAGAAGCTGAGGGTGTGGATCTGAGCTTGTCAGCTGAAAAAGCCTTCCCAGCTTAGCTCTGTAGGCAGAGAGAACCTTCTCGGAATGATGCAGGGATGTCCAGGCAGCACAGCTACACAGAATACAAGGAGGCTTAGTGTGTAAGAAGTTCCTTTGATATTTCGATCCTTCTGGCCATGCTGTCATGTTCTCAGCCATTTGGTGTCTGTTGTTTACACAGCCAGGGCATCCCTAGCAGGCTGGTGCCCTAAAAAAGAAAAGTTTTGTGGCTTCTCAGGCCACAGGCTTCTCCATCCCTTCCTCCCAGCCTTCACACCACTTGTGAAGGTTCACAAAGACCTGTTTTGTTCTTTTGTCTGCAGCTGACAAGTACTGCCCGCTGCTGATCAAGGAGGGTGGGATTCCCCTTCTGAAGGACATGATTAAAATGGCATCAGCACGACAAGAGACCAAGGAAATGGCCCGGTAGGAAACGTCGTCACACATTCAATTAGCTTTAGTTCGTAGAATCACGGAATGGTTTGGGTTGGAAGGGACCTTAAAGATCATCCAGTTCCAACCCCCCTGCCACGGGCAGGGACACCTTCCGCTAGACCAGGTTGCTCCAAGCCTCATCCAGCCTGGCCTTGGCCACTTCCAGGGATGGGGCATCCCCAGCTTCTCTGGGCAACCTGTCCCAGTGCCTCACCAGTTCCAGTGCTTCAGCAGTTTTTATTCTTCTACATCAAGTGAGGCCTATACTGATACGTACAAGGGAGAAAAGCAGGAAAAGAGGATAAGAGCGGAAGACTAGAGAGGTGTTTGTAGGTGGGCAATGCACACAGACCATTCAGGGTCGATGGATGCTGGGTAGATTGGCTAGAGGTGGCTTGTTGGACAGGGGAGCCACGTGGCTAATGGCATCTTGTACGACAGTGTCTGTGGTTGTCGCTATTCTCCATGCGTGTGTGGACTCCCTGTCTCCGGAATCATATTGGCCTGACAGTAAAATTGCTGACTGCACAGTATAAATGAGAGGGTTTTTCAAAAGGCTCACATCACCTTTGTGAGCTTCTCCATTTTACTTTGTTATGTGACCTCCTTTGGAGTAATTCTTTCAGATATTTAGAAGCCAGCTACAGTTTCTAGTTGTTGGCAAACGGAGAGCTGTAATTTCATACCTGGGGGATGAGGTGGAGATCGGCTGGGAATACATACCTTGTGGGTGGGCGGCAGGCGTTCCCCAGCGCTGAGGGGTTACCGAATGCTGGAGGTGACGGAAGCCTGCACAAGACTAGCACAGTTTGGCAGATTGTGTGTGGTGATGGGACAGTGTGAGAACAGTAAGTGAAGACAACAGCAGAGGCGGGGACAGATGACAGCAGTGTGAGTGACAATCATCTTCAGCCTTCCAGTACCTAAAGGGACCGACAGGAATGCTGGAGAGGGACTTTTTACAAGGCTATACTACCCCATGTAGTGACAGGACAAGGGGTAACGGGTTTCAACTGAAAATGGGGAGGTTGAGATGGGACATCAGGAAGAAATTCTTCCCGCAGGGAGTGGGGAGGCACTGGGACAGGCTGCCCAGAGAAGCTGTGGACGTCCCATCCCTGGAAATATCCAAGGCCAGGCTGGAGGAGGCTTGGAGCAACCTGGTCTAGTGGAAGGGGTCCCTGCCCATGGCAGGGGAGTTGGAACTAGATGATTTTGAAGGTCCCTTTCAACCCAAACCACTATGATTCTGTGGTCCAGATGCACGTGTTCCCTGATGTGATTCAGTTACCTGACGATTTGGATATGGGGGTGATGCATGAATGCTCACACAAGGATCTGCATGTATACTAACACCACTTGAAATTCCAAGGAAAAGTGAGCTCTAAGCTGCTTTTGTGGAGTATAATGGGTTTGGCACAAATACTGGTTGATGCATTTCTCAGAACTGCTGCCAGCAGTACACACTTACACAAAGATCAAGCTGTTGGACAGTTCTTACGGTACTGTCCCACAGCGGTTACGCAATAAGCTTTAAACTAAACCCTCTCTCCTTGTCCCTGTTTTATCCATAGGAAAGTTATAGAGCACTGCAGTAACTTTAAGGAGGAGAACATGGACACTTCCAGATAGAGGCAATCATCTAATGTCTCTTGCCAGCACTGTATCCAGCTTCTCTCTAACTCACTGTACATAGGGAGGACTCTTTCTTACCAACTCGCCCGTTGGAAGGAAACTTTATGTGTGTGTGTGAGACCCTCAGTAGATGAAGGTGAACAGGGGAGGGGGGAGGGACTTTTTGCACAACAAAATGCTTTCCTTAAATTAGTGGACTTTTTTTTGTTATGAAGTTTCAGGTTGAAGTTCTGTGTGTATGATTTCTGTATAAAAAGAAAACAAAAAACAAAGACAACTACATTATGTATCTTTTCACCTTTTCATTTTAGACCACACAGAGAGCCTCAAATGCTCATAAGCTTCATGACCTAGTTGTGTGATCGTTAGCGTGACATTTTTATTTCCCATTTTTTAGAAAATTCCCTTTTGCTGTATTGCATGAGGTCCTGTAACGTCTGCAGGAACACTAGTCCTGAATCGGTATTGGCTGCTCAATGGGGTTACAGGCCACGATGAGTTACTTACTCGGTTAGAGAGGTTGGGGGACACAGTACCAGGGAGTTAGACCAAAAGGACTGACCTTTGTGGTGATATTTGGAAATGGAAGAAATGGGGAAGGAAGATCTTTCAAGAACCCTTAGGGGTTTTTTATGGAAGACTCACATTAATAGAAGCTAACTCTATGTGGGTCATTCGGAACGAAGACATTCCCATTAAAGTCAGGAGGTCTGTTTAGTTCCCTCTGGCAATACAGTAGGATCTGCCAGCCCACCCAGCCTCGTAAAGACAGGGATGACCAGTAAAACCAGTTACACATCCTTGGCAACACAGAGCTGCCCTCTCAAATGGAGCCTGTGCAACAAGGAACAAGGTTTGTTCACAAAGGGCTACACATCTTCATTCTAGTCCCTCACCACCTTTTAAGTTTTGTTCCAGTTTATGGGGAAGGGCTACAAATGCCAGAGAGCGTATTTCCCCTCTGCAAAATAAGCTCTACTAGACCCCAGTCCAGAGCGGCTTGTACCGCTGGTGCAAGTCCCAGTAATGGACTGGAGCTGCTCTACTCTTTCTCAGTCTACATCAGTGGAAGCCATGTTCAGCGGCAAAGTGATCTCCCGTTATAGAAGCTGGCTGCAGCACAGAGTCTGCAATTGGAGGTGCTGAAGTTCTCTGAAACTGGGGAGTTTCCAGGCACCCTTTGGAGGGTGATCCCATGGAACAGCACCTCTTGTTCCACCCTGGCCCCTTCCCCTCTTCTGGGAAGCAGAAAGCCCTATTCTTCCTGACTCCCACTAGCACTGACCAGTGCAGTCCCACTCACATCAGCGTTGTTACTCCAAGTTACGTGATGTAGGCGAGAGGAGAGTCCCATGAAGGTGATCTTCAGACTCTGGCTTCTTGAGCCTTTATGCACCTAAAGGCCAAGGTTTGCCTCACAGCCAGGCACTCACCACCGCAGCGCGCAGTCCGTGCTTAGAGCCCTCTGCTTGCCACGCATTCACAAATCTTCCCTTAGAAGGGATTTCTAGGAGATTTTATGTCTGGTAGCAGTAAGAGGAGACGGTGGTCGTGTGAGTCAGGACATTTCAGGCCTCGGAGCACAGCCTTGCTGCTCTCGTCCCTTGTATACATTGCTCTCAGATTTGACTCGCTGCTACAAGGTTCTTCTAATGCTCAGAGTTGATGTTGTCATTGCTGAGCATCCTAGACAGATCCTAGAGACACAAACTGACACTTTAAATGACACAACACAGCTGCCCTGGAGAGGTTTACTTTTTCTGCCAATATGGTGTTACTCGATGTCTTTTATTTTTTTCTTTTTAACCATACGTCATTTGTTTTGATATTGTGAGATCTGTACTTTTTCCTTTAAGTATTTTTCAAACTTATATATATTTTTGTGTCACTTCTGAATTGTTTTCATATGGTTTGCAAAACTTGACAAATTATACTTTTTTTTGCAGTCGTTTGATTGAAATGTATTTTTCTCTCTCTTATTCCTCTTCTCCGAGAATTTGTGTCCCTATGAGCTTTGAGACAGGGAAGCTCATTTCAAGACCTGTTTTCTGTATAACATTTGCTGATCTCCCCTCTAGATGCAAAAGCTGCCCACCAGCCTGGGTGCATAGAGGAATTGGGCTTTGCTCATTTAATTCTCCATTCAGTGCTGCTGTCCTTGTGACGTTGTTTCACGTGACAGCGCTGCGCACCAGGCTTTCTTCCTTTCTACTGCTCTCACCCTGAAAGCTCCTACCACTAAAATCTTGAATCACGTGACAAAAAAGCACTCGAGATCCTGACTCTGTCGGCACGGTGGGAGTGGAGCAAAGGGAAGACATCGCACGTTCCCCAGATGCCACACTGGGGAGACAGCTGGAGCTTGGGAGCTCCCGTCTCGGGTACAGCAGACCTCAGCCTTGCGTTGTAATCAGAGCAAAGAGTCAGGCTTGATGCTGAGATTTTGGCGCAACAACATCAAGATTAACGGACAACCGATGGCTCGGTTCCATCTGCCTCAGGATGCCAAAGGTTTGGGTTTTTCAAAGCAGTGCCCGTGTGAGTTCAGCTGTTACTGAGGTCCCTGCTGCAAGCTGGGCCGTGGTATCCCAAACTAACACGATCCAAGCTGCATCAGACCTGCGTTTCACACTGTGAGGATAAGCTTTGTCCTCACTGCTCACATATCCTCATCACGCTGTACCTGAGCCTGAACCGGGATGAAAAGATTTCAAATTCCCAGCAACATGGAGATTAATGGAGTCAGGGCAGCCTGCCAGAAGCTTAGCTTTCTGAAATCTGTCACTGCTCCAAGTGGGAAGCATAACTGCTCTGTTACAGCTAGCTACACAGAAGATTTTGAGTCAGGCCACCAGCAAGGTACATTCCTGAAAGCATTTTAAAATAAATAGCATGCCTGTTAGAATAACGGAGCTTTGGCTACAAGCTTCAATATCTTAAAGCCAACAAACTTTATGAGCTGAAAAATCAAGTTTCCCTTTCAGTAAGGAGGAACAGAGAGAAAGGTATGCCCAGAACACCTGAGCATAATCCAGGAAATCATTAATAGGGAGTTTGAAACTAGTTCGTACCTCGGTTTCCCTAACTGAAACAACAGGAGTTGTTGCACCCTAGGCACGGGGCCTGTACCATGACCCAAAAGCACTTTTGGGGGGCAAAGAGGAGTTAATGAATTGCTGCTGTAGATCCAGCGCTCAGGACGAAACAGGGTAGTGTTCTGCTGCCATCATACCAATGTTCTGCAAAGGACGGGGGGGTATCAGCTGATACCCTGAAATCCTTGTTACAGAGAAGCCTCTCAGCCTCCAGCTTTGCTGGAGCAAAGGAATGAACCAGGACACTTCAACTCCACACAGAATTACAGAGCCAAGGACCAACTGCCCAGAAAACTAGACAAGGGTTCTACCTGTCAAATGAGAATCCAGCTGGAGGGAAGTTCATAGGGTGTAAAAATAGTGCAGAAGGGTTCCTTGTGCTCTGTAGTTACTGTCCCATTCAGACTCATGTTTTCACTACTACATTTCCTTTAATATTCAAAACTTGGCAAGCAGAGCACAAACACAACCAAGTAGTTCTCTGCAGAGACCGTGCCACCAAAGGAACCCTCTACCTTGACTGTCTGTAGTTTCCTTCCTGGCTGGAAGATGCCTCATGGTTCAGTGGCCCAAGCCAACGATACAGCAGGCCTCAGCATGCCGGGTGTCCTGTGTCTGCCATTTTCTCTGGAACAGATAAGAGAGCAAGTTGGTGGGCAACTTTCCACACAAGTGCTTCCATTTCACAAGATCCGTGGGAGGAACTGCTTATCAGATTGCGATCTACTTGTATGATGCTTAACACCCAGCAGTACCAGACTTTCTCATCTAGACCAAGCCAAGAAAGTTTAGCACTGATATTTGTGGCAATTAGTAACACTGCAGACAATTCATCTGCCCCATCACAGCTGCTATTACCCTGCACGTACCTGTTGGCTGAAATGGTATCTGTTCTGCTCAGAGTCCTGCCCAGCTTGTCACCTGGGTTGTGCTTCTGCTGCAGTCACTCTGGTCTCTGCAAAAGATGAGTGGGAAGAGAAGTCTTGGAGCTGTGAACCTACTCCCCTCTCATCACTTAAAGGCAGCAATTAATTACCAGTAGGACAAGAGCTATAGAAGCACTGCGTTCAGGCACTACTCCACAGAAAAGATGTTTTCTTGAGCCTGTTTAGGGATGAGCCTGCCACAGCTCAGGTGTTTGAGGGTGGCTTTGCTGGAAAAAAGAGAATTAAAAGTAGGGAAACAGCTGGTCTCCACGACAACCGTGAGTATGAAGCACAGAGGGTGAAGGTTATCAGGAATGGATGAAAAGCAGCATGGGGGCTGGATGAGAACACAGCACTTAAAAAAAAGGAATGAGGGAGATTTCCTGCCGAACTGAAACACTTCTGCTTTAGCAGACTGCATTTTGATTTCATATAATCGTCACAGATTCTTTCAGTAATTCTTGTTTTAAAAAGTTTTTTAAGCTAACCAAATGTGTATTTCCTTGTTTTGCTTAAAGAAAATAACCTCAGTTATAATGAGCAAACATCTGCTTTTACAATCTGTCCGTTGACCTGCCTAACGTTGAGAGGCCTGGTTCAAATGTTTGTACATGGTGAAACCAAGCAAAAAAAAATGCACAACTGTTGCTTCCTTACAATTCTGAATGAATTAACTTTTCTGTTGTATCCATTGGATACCCGCTGTGTATTAAACCTAGTGCTTAACAATGTCTGCTTCCTTTGGTCTGTGAATGTGGTTTATTTAGGTACATTACTGCTCCATTTGCTGTCATATATTTCCTTAAAAATGAAAGGAGCTGCCATGTGCTGATGATGCAGCTCAGTGGCTTTTTCTTTCATCGCTCCAAGGGATAGGGATACAATGCTGTTTGTCAATAGAAAAGAGGCGTAGAGGAAGAGAGTATTGTTATGAAATTATGTGAGAGCAGAAAAAAAAACCCAAACCAGAACAATATTTGACTGTACAGCTTGCCTCTGAACTCTGTAACGGATCTGCAGCTTGCATTCCACAGCCTAAGCTTTGTAGGTGGGCAGAAGCTGAGTACTTAAGGCTCTAGCTTAAAACAGTCAATCTGCTTGAAGGCCAGTGTGACTTTCTTCTTAAGTCCTGCAAGGGTTCAGGTTAATTCAGTGGTCACTGTAAACTCCAAGGGATCAGACGCCAGGTGGCTGAAGTAGCAGGAGGAATTCTGTGAAACTGAACTGCTGCTAGGAAGCTGAAAACATACCGCATTGTAAGAATACAGAGAGATACCTTAGGCTTCCGGCAGCATGAAATTCCTAGATGGAATGCCGTAAGTATCTAGATCCTCCACTCAGGAGCTTGCTAGTAGAGACTCTCTGGAACTAAGCCTAATTTCAACCAGTTGTTTAGGCTGACACCCTTGACACGCTCTGATCTCTGTAAGACAGGTTTCAAAGCTGTAAGAAAAGATAAAAAACATAACATGCACCAAATT